CCTACGAGAATCACCACAGAGCTGCACTGCAGCCCATGTGCCACTGCTGCTGTGAAGGGCTCCCACAGCATTGTCTGTCAGATTGATGGAGTTGACAATGTCGGCTGCCATGCCACCAAGGTGGCACACCTGTCACTGCTGCACCTGCAACTCCAGTAGGACTGCACCCTGGATGATCACTGCTGCCTGCTGCCAAAGGTGTTCCTCTACTGCATGGTGCAGAGGAGCCAGCCTGTGGTACGCTCTGCTGCAGCCAGCAGTGTTGTCTATCTCTGTGATGACCAGGTGCTCACTGCCAGCTGAGCCCTGCCATACCAGGGTGTCTGAGTGGTGCCATGCTGTGCAGGCCATGCAACCCTGGTGGTGTCGGGAGCTGTAGGGATGGCAGGTGATTGAGCACTGGAGCTGTGATGAGCCAGCTGCAGCTGTGCAGCCAGCCAAGCAGCCAGCTCCACCATCATCACCACTGCAGGGCACTCGGTTGGGGTGCCTGGTGGAGATTTTAGGCATCATGCATTCACAGTGCAGTTGCTTGGGGGCCCGTCGGCAAGAGATATTGACTCCACAAGCACACCGTGCGTGCATGCTGAGAGTAAAACAACAGTCGCACACATGATGCCGGAGGCCAACATCACAATTGATGACTTGCAAGTCATGGGCCTGTCGATCCGGCAAATATGTGCATGTTTGTGTTTGTGTCATGAATGTATATTTTTGAGCGATTTCGGGACTATTCCATCATACACTCACTGGCAGAATCATCAGCACCGCCTGCGGGCGCCCCACAAATCGCTTCCACCCCGGGTGCGTGCCACAGCGGCTTCAGCAATCCGCTCCACAGCCGTGAGCTTCATCGCGGCACACTGCAACTCTTCGGAGGCCCCGAGCATCGGCCAAAGTAATTGTACAAACGAGCAGCTTGCGTAATTCATAGAGAACTGAAAGCAAATTTGTCGGCCTGCTGGTTGCAAGTCGGAATGCCCGTGCGGGCAAATGGTAACGCAAGCTGGGTGTTCGAGTTATCATACGCCGTCGCGCTGGGGCCCCGCCCAAAACCTCGTGGAAGCTGTCATGGTCAATGGTTAATTCTATTGCTTCTGTGGCAAGGATACTGCGTGGCTTTTATGCATTACAATGGGAGTTAGGTTGTGTATTGCGGTGGAAGATGGGGAATAAGGGTAACGCCGATTTATTCCGAGCACTCTTCGTAACCGTCCTGGCATGGCGCTGAAGCAGCCTTGCCTTTAGGAGCCCAAGAAAAACCTTTTCTGGGAGAAACCGACCTTGAAGATTTGATGGATTTACGCGGCGGCCGGCAAATGCGTGCTGCTGTACCTTGCTCTGCGTCATTTGTTCCCATCGCAGCCGACATGCTGCAAGGCTTGGAATCCTTTCTGCAAAACAATTAAACCGTAATAAATAACAGATCTCTTGTTTCACAGCAGTTCGTTGCACCATACGTTATAACAAGGCTTGACGTCTGCCTACCTTACGGAACCCACGGGACCAGAGTTTGCTTGAAGACCTCTTTGAGAAGCCGCAGCTCTCTCAAGTCTCAAACCAAGAGCCACTTCTGTAGCAAATATAATTTTCGCCGAAATCGTCTTTTTTTACCGCTCCGTTCTGTTGGAAATCCATGGGGGGTATCCACCGCGGCGCCGCGCCCCACATCGCGGAGGATGGCTCATTCGCCGCCTCCACCTCCAAGCTGCCGGTGCTGCAGTACTTTCCTTGCCGCGGCAGAGCTGAGCCCATCAGGTGATGGGCACCGACAATGAGAATGACAAACAAAAAAATTGAGAGGACACCCCAGTCGGCCTCATCGAGTGTCTTCCAGTGCGGTGCTGGCTTTTGGCTGCATGTCCTTAGGCCGCACAACTCGTTCCCTTACTTGCTATTTTGATAGTCGTTACGGAGCTCTTCTGCCTGGCAGAGGCATCGTAACTTTTGCTTCACACATAACGTGCCGTACTTATACGACACGTAGGCTAGTGCTGTCGTACGTGAGGCAGCCTTGGTTTGAAACCCCACCGGCGTCTGTCAGGTGCGTTGCAGCAACTAGCGAGGGGAGGTTGGGTAGTTAGTTAGCGGTTGAAGGGGGGAAGTGTGCGAGGCATCTGCTGCTGCGGGCTCTCCTGCACAACCCACCCCTCCACATCTAATTCCATGGATACGCATTGAGGCCACGATTACTACTATTACTACTACTACTATTAAATACTACAACCCTGCTACTTTAACTCACACATCTTGCATTCTCACGCACTGCCTTTCCCTCTCGTGGATGCCAGTTAGCAAGACCATTTTCCGTAGAGAGGGTGTGTGTTGACCTGGCCCCGCCCAACCTCTCCTTTCCCCCGCCGCCTCGCACTCCCGGCCCGTCCTCCACGCCTCCACACCTGCAAGGGACATCTACCTCATCATGCACAAGGAGTTTGACGGATACCCCTTCAGGTCGGTGGGGAACGGGCTCTGCCCCCCCCCTTTCGTTTTCACACCCGCGCGGTGCCTGTGTGAACGAATCCATACTCGTCTTTGGGAGTCACATACACACACACGCACACGCACTCTCTAGGGCTCGCAGAAACCGGCGGTTCGTGTGCGGACTTTACGGCAATCCACGGCATCGTACAATGCAGGCAGCTTCCCCGCTTCATCGACGAGGTGCATGGTGACGTCGACCTGGTGCAGAGCGGGGCTATTCTCAGGCACCTGGGCAAGAAGTACGGTAAGTACGGCATTGTACGACAAAGAAGGTGCACTTGTAACTCTCATCCGTGTCTATTACCACGTCAAAGTCGCTACGCGCAGATCTGTACGGCAAAGATATCATCCAGGCGGGGCGTGTCGATATGGTGCTGGAAGCGGTTTCGGAGCTTCGGGCCAAACTTCGGGTAGGCTGTACGGAGCGTCTAAAACATGACGCCTGGCGGCGGGTGGGGTAGGGTGGATCAGGGAGCTTGGGGTTAGGGATCCGGGGCCTCGATGCGGGTGGAGGGGCCCTGGCCGGGAGTCTATGCACCGGTGTACGTGCAGGTAAGGACGCGGCCTCCGTGGGCCGCCGGGGTGTTGCGCCTTCAGGCCATATGTGGCTGCCTCCGGATATACCTACCGGGGTACATGAGCGAGCTCGTTGGTTGAAGCTTGCAAGCGAGTTCAGCTATGTCCGTGTCGAGTTCAGCTCACCTTTCCTAAGCCCCGAAGCTAATGGCTTCTGCTGTACATACCCGTACATACACATCAGCGCAGCGCATGGCTGTGTTACTCCTGCACACAGGCCGGTTGCTGCGGCGCACTTGCCCTGTTCCCCGCCTCGTGAATTACCCAGGACGCATCACCGTCAAAAACATACCCCTCACACCAATCTGGCTCCCCCAGGAGGTGGTCGTGGTACGGCAGCTAGAGGGTTCCGCCGTACAGCAGTACATTGATACCGTGATGGCACCCGCTGAAAAGCTCAAGGTTTCCAGCATGCAGGTGGGGGGCGGGTAGGATGTGTGTGTATGTATGTGTGTGGCTGGGAGGGGCCGGGCCGGGCATCTCTGGGTTTAGGTTTTCGTGTTCCGGAGGTTTTGGGGTTCGTTGTTCAAAAATGATATAATGCACCCAAATTCTTGTCTTACCTTGTCCTTGGCTTGTGATTGCTGTTCTCTATCTTCCCTTCCTTCTGCACAGTTTATCCGCAGTTGTTACTCTCCGTACCGGACCGTACTGTACCGTATTTTCTGCCACGAACCTCTTGGGTCGTTCCCCCCGGTGCAGTGATACTTCTACATTTGCATGAATATAATAATTTGATGATTACTCCTCCAAGCAGGGCCCTGGTCTGGCTAGTCTGGAGTACCTGCTAGCCAAGACGCGATTCTCCACCGCTGGGTGGTTGGTGGGCGAGGGGCCATCCCTGGCAGATTTCGTGGTGTTCGATCTGGTAAGCAAATACCTTAGCAGGTGACGGAGAAGGGGTCGGCCCAGCTGCCAGGGTCCAGAGGGAAATGCCAAGCGAACCGTGGATGTGGGGTGGGTGAAATGATGGCGGGTGGGCGTGGAGGAGGTGAGGTTGACAGCGGGTTGGGCACCACACTAAGATGAACCACAGGCGGTTGAAGCAGGGGCTCCCCAATCGAGGGGCCCAAGGGGGAGAGGGCGGGGAGGGGGGGGGTAACGCGGGAGGACGGGCGGGAGTGAGTGTTTGAGCTGGGTGCCGTACTTGGACCTGACAGTGCGTCAGTGGCACCTGACTAATGTAACACAAATAGGTGGGCACGGATATACGGCACCGCCTCCTCTGGGGTCGTTATGCAGTTTGCAGCTATATACTGCATTTCATAGAACCACATTCCCCGCTGTGCCCTGCCACTGGCCCCGCCTGGCAGGTGGACCTGCATTTGGCCCAGGGGGAGTTGGCGGAACCGCTCCGAAACCGCTTCCCCGCCCTCCAGGCCCACCATTCCCGCGTGGCGGAGCTGCAGGGTGAGTGACCCCCTCTCTCTCCCTTTTCTCTCAACCCCCCGTACGGAGTTGGGGGTATATGGGTTGGGGCTGTAGGGTGTTTCAAGGACGCTAACAAGGCCCTTTGCTTGGCCACGGCCATGCCCCTGAATGCGGTTCTGTAAATTCCCTTCCTTTCCCCCGCACACCCGTCCCCGAGAATAGGAATAGCGCTCAGCGGTGCTGTCGAGGGACAGCCTGTGCTAGCCCGTACACTGCTTCCGCCTGCGTATTTTAGGGTTTGAACTTTCCGTCGCGTCGCGTGTTACTGCTAAAACCTCTTTCCCGCGTGTGGAAACCTCCGAGTTTCAACGTGAGCTGACGTGTACCCTTGGGGGTGTTTGGGGGATTGCGAGGGAGTCCAGGTGTGGCGGAGTACCTGGCCAGTGACAGCCGCCACTCGGCCCTGTGGGCGGCGGACTGGCTGCGAGAGCACAGCCACCTGCGGCCTTCCTGAAGGAGAAGAGCAACAGGAGGAGGGAAAGCACCGAAGCACTCAACAACCGGCCAGAGGATTGCGCACCGTGTAACTTGCACGCACGAATCTGTTGGAGGACGGTTTGGAGAATTGCTTAGGCTGGCCTCCTCTTTAATTGTAAAAGCGTACTTGCATGAGTAGGCGTTGCCGTATTATCAACCGTGTTGCAAAGGTGGCACAAGCACCGGGTCCTCCGCATTTTTCCTGGTCACGGCTGAGCATGAAACTAGATTGGATTATGCGGCATGTGATTTTTTGGGGGACGGCTAGGAATTCAATAGCTGGTGAGGCCGGGTGCCGATTGGATAAGGTGATGCAGGAGAGCAACGTAAGCCTACCTACCGCAAGGCGAAGTGCATGAGCCTGATTCGAGCTTCTAATTTGTCGAGGCCAGCTGTTCTTGTAGAAAGCGACACGCATCAAGGGCTGTTCGACCTTGACCTGTCATCCGCGACTGGGCCCCTGATCTGCATACCTAAAACGCCGCGTCCCTAGCCCCAGTTGTCAACGCCGGCAATATGCTAGCTGGGTCTGTGGACGATACACCGCCGTGTCTAGATAGGCTAGAGGCTCATAAGTCAGCCACGCACGTCCCAGCACCAGTGCTCGCTCACCTCCGCTTCCCTAGCTAAGCCGCATCGCGCATACTTTGGGGAGGGGGGAGAATATCCCTACCTTGCCTACCGACCCCTTTCAGCCGGCCGCCGAAGACGTAATGGTTTGGACTCGCTGCTTTGATAGTAAGGGTGGAGATAAGGTTGTGCTCCTTGGACGTGTGCAGACTTTACCCCAGTGCCGCGCAAGCACAGGTACTATGGTAAGTATGGTTCCCTGGGTAACTGCCAGGTGTGGCTGTGCTGTTACACTATACGAGGCGGCATATAGCTCCCCTCAAGACATCTGACCCTAATAGAAACGCATGTGTTGCGGTGCGCGGACTCGCGGCCGGGACAAGGGATGATAAGAGGAGTTGCGCGCCTTTACATACTACGCCAATCCGGCCCACCTACGAGCCACAAACGAGGTTCCAGAGAAGCAAATACCTCAAGATACTGTTAGACTCCGCGCCCGACACAAAAAACTGCGCAAACATAACTCGTTCTCGTCAGTGTTTCCCTGGCACTGCACCGCATCGCAAACCCCCTGTACACATCCGAAACCTTGCGTACCATCACACTAATAACTGCGACTTCGTGTCCACATCCCGGTTCATGTCGCTAAGCCTTCCGCTTCCGCTCAGTTGAGCTCTGTCATAGTCCAAGCCCAATCGCCCAAGCTGTGGCCTATTGCAGCGAGGGCTGAGTCTGCCAGATCAGCAGGCGCTTGCTGCTTGGGTTGAAGGCCTCGTAGACCTTGTTGTTCGCCGCCAACATCTTCATCACGTGGTCCGATACCGACTTGGGAGCGGTGTGGTGCAGATGCTCAAGCACCTGGTTCTTGGAAACTGCCGAATAGCGTAGGTCGCGGTCATAGGCGTAGTTGAACTTCCAGATTGTCTCGTGGTACCGCTTGTAAGCAGCGGCCCAGCAAGCGTGAAGCTTATGCTCACGCATGAGGGAGGGCAGCATCTGAGTGTCCAAATACCACATCACCCACCCCGCCACGAGGGCGGCAGTGGCAGCCTCCTGCTGCAGCGACTCTGGCAAAAGCTTCATCGCTGATGTCGGGTGCTAAGCCCCACGGCAGGGGGATTATAAGCTCGCGCCCACTGCGCGCCCAAGGGTCTAACTAAGAGAGAGCTCTGGGAAAACTAAGCAGCGCGGAGCTGTTTGTTCCGGGAACTGACGCGTACGGCATTGTGTTACACTCTTCCTCTGTGTCTTTGCAGGCTATCCAAACGTATCATATTACCATATTACCTGATGTCCACTGAACATCGATAGTTGTGTGATTCTGGCCTAGTCCCTGCACATGGATACTTAGTGACACTTGACCGAGTAGAAAGACAGCTTCTTTGGTAGCATATTATTTCAAGGTTTATAAAATGTCGTTCAGAGAACTTCGATGTAAGCTTTGCGCAGCGATGATCGTTTCCTTAGTGGGCAGGCCCTGCGACCACCCTCCTTCCTCTTGCCCGCAGCGTACACGGAGGTCATGAAGGCGCTGGGTTATCCGCGGTTAATATCTATGGAGAACTTCCGAACACCTAATTTTGAGCTCGTGGCGGACTGCCTCTATTGGTTGCTTCAACGGTGGGCAGGGACGCATGTCGCGGGGAACGCGTCCTTGGCCAGCTAGTACTGGAGTTGCCCCCATGTGCTTTCGTTACAGATACTATCCGGGCGTGGAGATATCCGATGACATCAGCACGGAGGCCGACCGCGTGAAATTCCTGCAATCGGTGGCTCAGGTCATGCTAACCAAAGCACGCATGAAGCTAAACATCAAGAGGCTGTACGCTGCCGATGGCAACGCTGTAAAAGAGCTCCTTAAGCTGGCGACGCTCCTCTACAAAGCCACATCGAAGGCTGGTGATATGGACGACGTGAGCGGGGTGGCTGTGCGCGCCCTGGGCTTGGCTCTCCCCATGTCCATCCCGCGCCCTTGGTTTCCTAACCCAAACATAGCCACATCTGCGTCAAGAGCGAGTAACAAACTCATTACTAATTATGGAGCTAGGCATCATGGGTTAGCGCAGACCTAGGAGGGGGAGGGGTAGAGGCGCAAATCCTTGTCAGTGCAGGCTCCAGCCGCATGCGCCCACACCGGCCCAGGCATGGACTAGCCCAGACTGTCCCATGTGGTTTGTCGACAGCTGCTATAGTTCAAAGTTGTTGATCCGTATGGACCGAACCAGTCTGTACGTAACACACCACCACCCATCGCCTCCGCTTACACAGGACTCGACCGAAGTGGTGGATGTAATTGCGTCCCTGAAGGGGTTCAACCCCAAGGAAATTAAGATGTCAGCCAGCGAAATCATCAAAGCCGGTGCAGCGCTCTACGATGCGCTGGGCCAGGAGCCTGAGCTGCGGGAGCACCGTGCTCGTGCTGTAGCGGGCCACGTGGACACGGACTTCGTGGAGCGCAGCATCCGCGAGGCCATCGCGATGGTGGGTCCCGGCCTGGGTGAAAGCTGGTGCGATCTGCGTTGGTGGCCAAAGCTCTTATCAGGGTTGGGGCGAGCAAAGGGCCTGTAGTGGGGCACTGTGGCCCGCTGTGGACCAGGGGACCGCTGCTGGTCACTGGAATGAATGCGATTGTGTGGGGTTGTGCTTGTGGAAAAAGTGTGGTTGTGCCGATGTGGGCCAACGGCAACGTGTCGATATCTGCGGGGGAGGTAAGAGAGTGCACGCAGAAGCCTGCTGGGGCCAGGGCTGTGGGATGGCGGGCGTGGGTGTTCGCCGTGCGACGTGCGACGTTGCGCCGTGGACGCGTCGTTGCGACGGAGTCCGCGGTCCAGCTGGGAACACTGTGTGAGCTTCCCGTGGACTGCGGCGGCGCGGCTCGCCGACAAACATCCTGGTCCTCCTGGCGGACCTCCCGGTTCCGTTCTTGGTAGCGCTGCAGCGTACACCATCCCGCAACAGACAACCAAAACACTGCACATATGTGCAGCTCAGGGGCAGCCATGGGGCTGGGCAGTCATGGGTTATTAGGAGACAAGCAATCACGGAAGAAACGAAATGAGTCCGTGCCGCCGAGAGTCTCGCGTACTTTGTACACGGGAGTTACACGGGGACGACCCCATGGAGCTTGGCACCCGTTGGAGGAGCTTCCCCATTGGATGCTGTGTAGGGTACCTTGGTGATATAGGTCATGCAGAGGAGGCGGTTGCTAGGCTGCTAATGGAGGCGCTGAGGGGGTCTTGGGCCGCCCTCTCCGCCACTTTCCCCCGGCCCCGTGGAACCCGAAGGTCCTCATCATCCCGAACGCAGTCTTCATGGCCAGAGCGGCGACATCCACATTTAGGATTTTATGGTATTGCTCAGCATATTGTTCAACATGTACCAAAAGAGTAAAGAATCTTGTAACCGCTCTCAATTGGGTTCTGCGGCATGCCGCTCCATCCTGCTGCCACCTGCTGGTGATGCTGCCACCTGCTGTTGTTGTTGTTGTCGTTGTTGTCTCGTGCTGCAGGTGGAGGACAACATCCACTCCCTGGAGAACCAGATGGAGGACCTGGAGCGCAACGAGAAGACCCTGGACAACAAGATCGAGAAGAAGAAGCAGGAGCTGGAGCGTCAGGAGAAGCGCCTGTCCACCCTGCAGTCCGTGCGCCCCGCCTACATGGACGAGTACGAGCGGTTGCAGGTACCTGGGGGGGAGAAGTTCGCGTTCGTGTTTGTTTTATGATCCGAAGCCGTGTATGCGTCTCAGGAAGGAGCTAGGGAGCATATATATATATATATGTATATATGTATATATGTGCATGAGTTTGCTATTATGATGCATGCGTGCATCTGTTGGGACGGCTTAACTCTGACCCTACGCGGCAGACTCTAGCCCGCCTTTCCGCACGTCACCTCCCCGTTGGTCTTTTGCACACAGGGCACGTGGGCAAATGCACTCAGTATTCATCAAATGCCATGCTCTTGGGTCGGTTGCAGGGTGAGCTGAATGACCTGTACCAGAGGTATCTTGATAAGTTCCGCAACCTGGAATTTTTGGAGAACGAGTTGGAGACGTACTACGAGGCTGAGCAGGAGAAGATGGAGCAGCAGGAGAAGCGACTGAAGAAGATGCAGAAGCGGCTCAAGTGAGCGCCACCAGGGTGCTGGTCCTGTATCGTGGGGGAAGATCGGTTGAAAGGGGGGGAAATGCGGCGAATTAGCGATGGCTTGTTGCGAGGGTGAACTGCGGCGGCATGTCATCGGACAAAAGCGTTGCCGTCTCTCCAGGGTTTTTCCCCTCGATCTGCATGAGCGCCCCTGAGCCTGGTTCTTTGCTTGTGCACTCACGTTTCCGATATGCGGGGTGGAGGGGTGGGGTAACCTTCGGTACATCTGGAGTGAGGACTCCTGGTGCTGTTGCTTAGGTAATCATTCATGCCATTGCCATCGCCCTTTCCGCGCCTGGCACTCACGCTGTGTGTAGGGAGGAGGAGCTGCGGATCTTGCGCGGCGAGCAAGAGGTGGATGAGACCAACCTCCATTTTGACGACGATGAGGACGACGAGGACGATCTGTCGGGTGAGGGCGGGGAGGACGAGGACGACTTGGACGATGACACGGCGTACCAGGCCAAGGGCACGACACGGCGAGGTCAGGTCGGCGGAGGTGGGGCCCAAGGCGGCGCGCGGCAGCAAGGACGACAGGTGCGGGGAATCACGGCGCGGTGGCCGGGGTTGGAATAGGCCAAAGGGGGGGGGGGAAGGCCTGGATTGGTCAGCGGCAGGGACCGTGCCCGGTGTTCTGGACTATGCACCGGAGTAGAATACGGCATGGCACGTTTCGGAATACAGAGGAGCGGGTTGGAAGAGCTTTTGCTGGACGGATGGAATGAGGGCGATGGCAGCACTGTCCCCTGCGCTGATTAGGAGCCGCGACAGAATACTGTGGAGTGCGAATGGTTTGTTCTATCTTTACAAATGTTTCGAAAGAGAAGAATGAGTCGCCAATAATAGTTGTGTTTTCAGCGCGCGCGTTTGTACACCTAATGTAATGGTGCTGCTGCAGGTTATGGGTAACCTAGATGGCGATTTCGAGGACGAAGCGTCGATAGACGAGGACGACAACACCGACGGTGGCGACGTGTCTCGAGCGGGTTCCGATGCGGGCGGTGGCGGTGGTGGCTACGGCGGTGGCTACGACCAAGGGGGATACATGAACGGCGGCATGGTGGGTCACGCGGGTGATGACAGCGTTGCTCGAACTGCGCTCTGACTTGATGGTGTTTCGCCGGTGTTCTTGCATGGCCAATACTGATTGTGATACTGGACTGCGAGCTGTAGAATTAGGCGGAAGGACCCATTTTCGTGGAGACTTTCAGCACCTGCCCATGCCGTTTTGGCAGCTCCGCCAGAGGAGTCAGTTCTAAACTCTAAACCGATTCCGATGCCATTGGTCCCTCGGAATTCCTCCAGGACGACGACGACGGCGGGCACTTCATCCAGGACGATGATGACGACGACAACAACTTTTAGTCGTCGAATCCAATTCCAATGTTTCGGGGGCATACGACCAGCCTGACCGCCGTTACCATGCGACATGCCATCGTCGTAGGTGAAGCCGCCAGGTGGAATGCGGCAGCGAGCCTTGGAAGCTTCAATGGGCTAGATCTACCAGTTTGTGCCCTGTCTTGGCAGGCTGCAGGATCGGATTGCACACCGAACCGCGCGCTCTGGCGATAGTGAGCATGTGTCTGCCGGTCAATGTGTGCCAGTTAGTCAAGCGCTGGCACGGGCTCCTGTTAAAGCCTGCTCGTGCTGTGTGCGCTACTGCGACCGGTGATAAAGGGTCAGCTGTGAACCGGTGAGTGGTGAACTTGCTGAGGGTACATATGGATGTGCATGGAATGGAACAGGTGCAGGTGGCGCACTTGCGACCCCCACGGAAACTCCTCGTGTCCCAGGCACGTGCGCAAGTAGAGCTTTGATGATAGATTGGCAAATGGAGCGTGGGGCTTGGGAGTTGGAACTGTACATATAAGGAGGATCTGTATGATCAAGGCGTCGCGGAGTTCGATGAACGAAGGGAGGGCCGACAGGGGGACATGGGGGCCCTAGTCAGGTTGCGTTGCGGAAGCTATGTGCCGAAAGGAGTCGGTGTCACAGGCGCCTGTGCTCGGTGCAGGACGAGACGTGCTGCTGTGTGGCGTCGCAGGCGCTGCCATCTTATTTGTTGTTTACGCGGCTGCAGCTGGAGGCGGCAGCTTAGAGAAGATAATCAATGGCCTGTAGGCGGCCGTTTGTAACCCGCACATTGTTTGCAGGTCATCAAACTGCTGCGCACTGGGCATGCGATTGGTAAGGGAGTTGTACCCGCGCTAGGGATTAGGCAAAAAATCGTAGGGTCCTGCAAGTCTTGCTGGACCTACGATGCTCGCGTGTCGGGCTTCCGTGTGGGCGCAGTATCCCAATTTATATAACAACTACGACACCTGCAGGCCGTGCGCCCATGCTTATTACACAATCAGGATGAATGTCCAGGAAGACAAACGAAACGCCACAAGCTACTTTGCGACGCTGAAACAGCAGCGGCACATTGATGCACATGCACAACAGGGCAGACAAAAACATTACTAGTCAGCGCAGATTACGTGAGTGCAAGGTGTATAGGGGACGGGCGGCAACGCGGGGACGCTGGAATCTTCAACGCTCTACAGCTGCTTTCGGGAGGAGGTTCACGTCACTGATATACTACATATACATGAGGCACAGAAGCTAAATGCTGCATGTGCTGGGACGGCACGGCATCCGCACGTCCTGGGCACTGGGGTCCCAAGTACGAGCAAAAACACCGCTGATGATCTGCAGCATGAGGCCGCGCCAATCCATACTCGCAGCGGGCGCACATTACCTCGTTGACCGCTTTATGCACCACTGGACAAGGAAACGCGCATAACCTGCACCTAATCGCATGGGAAATGGCTGCAAGTAACCACAAAAACGGTCACATATGGAAGGTAGAATACGCCATTTCATAGCTTACGCATGCCGCCTGTCAGCCCTAGCCTACCCTGCAACAAAGGCCCGCTGCAACGAATGCACCCTGGCCTACGTAACTTGCAGTGCCAAAATCCCCAACCGAAGTAACCAACCTAAACATGCCCCACAATCCCATGTTCCAAATCACCAGTTCACCTCTACTACCAATACTTGGTAAATACCATGTCCACACCCTGCTCATGGCCCAGTCGCGCCAATGCCAAAGACCGAAAGCTGTGCGACCCGGTCCTGATCAGACAAGCAGGCCATGCTGAGCGCCAGCCGCTGCCCCAAGTCCTCACACCAGCGATTATACTCTTCCTCGCTGATGTGATGTTTTGAAATGTCGGGTGGCGGTAGTACCGGCCGCAGGTTGCCACCGTTGCCCGCACCCGCCGTGGCGGCGTTCTGTTGGCTGGAGGAGGCTGCGCCGCTGCCGCTGCTGCTAACGCTGCTCCTGCCGCTAGGGAGCGCGTTAGCACTGCCGCGGTGGGCCATGGTGCCGGGCGGCCCCCGGCGATGTGGGCCACCCCCAAGCACGGTCTTGCCGACACTGACACCGTTTATACGTAACCGACCGGCGAGGTTGGATGCCGGGGAAGATGGCTTGCCTGAAGCCCCCATGCTGGAGACCGGCGTCCACATTGACGCCGCGCTCTGATCTGAGGCTGATTGGTGATGGCCCATGCCGTGCAAGTCATGGCTATGTTGACCCCACGCAACTGCTGCCGCCCGGCGTTCCAGCGCGCCTATCAGCGGAAGCACTTGCCAGAAGTACTTGGCGTGGCGCCGGGTGTCGCAGAGGCGCACCAGGAGCGCCTTGATGCCGGCGGCGAGCGCGGGCATGGGAAATGGCAGCGTGTTCACCGTCGCCTCTAGCAGGCCCAACCAACGCTTTGGGTGCGTGTAACCAACAGAGAACTGTACAGAGATTAACATTAGGCAGGCACGCTCAAAGGCGGCAGCCCACTGCGGGTCTCTGCAACAAGGCGAGGAGACCACTGCTTGCAGCGCGAGCGCAAGCCCCTCGGGCCCCACAGCCACTAGCTCGTGTCCTGCAACAGGGGAGGCGGGACACGAAGCAGGCGAGGGGCCACGACCAGTCAACCTGGATCAGCAGGAGCGGTGCAGAGTTGCGTTACTCAGCTGGCGTCAGCGCAGCAGATTGGGGCACATGGGATTTTAAGGTTCGTTGTGACCGGAGTTTGTGGCCGGGCCTCCTACCGCGCGCAGGATAGGACACACCAGCCGCATGATGATATGCGCCCACACGTACTGCGATCATATAACCTGGACACACGCACACCATGCGTACCTGGAGACGCTGCCAAGTGGTTGTAAAGCTCGTCCACGTACTCCTGTAACCGGAACGCCTTGCGGAGTGTTATGGACACGGGGGCAGCAAGTGGCAAAAAGGAAAAGTGAGGCTCCAAGGCGACGGGCTTAGTCCAGAGGATGGATGTGACGACGAAGTATGATGCTACTAAAATACAGGTCATATATACTGTAGAGGTACTATATAGACCGGGCGCCCAGGAAAGCACACACACATGCATTTACGTTGCCTTCCCGGGATCCGAAAGATCCTCCCCAGTACACGAGGCTTCCACTCTTATGGCCAAACCCTACATCAACCCTACAGCCGTGTCAAAGTCATCAAGATAACTTCTATATGACTGTGGGGGTTTGCCCATAGCTCCCACCCACACAGCAGATCCCCCCTAAGAACATATCCTACACACAGAAAACGCCCTTTACGGTTTCATCCATAGAGATGCGGCCGCAGCAGCCTTGCGCAGACATGTTAACAACACAGACCAGCTGACCTGCAAAGGGTAACCAAAGCGGCGGGCTGCCTGCAACAACCGGGGATATCGCTCGTACAGGAACTCCCGGCTGCGCCAGATGCGCGGACCCGTCATCACCCGTCCTGAACCTGCCAGCGGAGATATGGGCCCAGGTTGCAGCATTGATATCAGCTCCATCAAGAACCAAAAAGCATAATTCGTTATACAAGGTATGCCACACAAAAAGGGGCACAGCAGAGAGGAACAACACCCCCGGAGAAACATGGCGTAAGAAGCGTCTATGACCACAGGAAACGCGAATCACCACCGTCACCCAACTGCGCTGCGCTCAAACAGAAATCTCTGTCCTGTTCAATCCTCCTTACGCACGTTCGTAACGCCTCACGGCGTTATTGTCATTGGCGAAGATCGGGGTTACTTTACCTGAGGCGCTGGTGTCCGTTTCAGGTGCGGCAGCGGTGTCGCCACCGTCGTTAGTCCTGGGCGCTGTAGATTCCACTAGGTAGCTGGCTCGGTTGAGCGCCGCCCTGGCCAACGACAGGTGCGCCACCGTGAGGGCGGTCGCTGAGGAGGAACCCTCAGCAGCGCTGCCATCTGGCGGCGAGGCAAACTCAACAGCCTCCTGCGGAAAGGAGAAACACGAAAAACAGTCGGGCGACCACGCACGTTTTTCCATCTGCTTTCACAGCTCTAAATCTGTTGTTTTCCCGTCGTCACAGGCAGAGGCTGAGGCAGCGCTGCGCACAGTGGCAAAAGTCATTTTCATCGGTCGCGGCTGCTTTGACCCTTTAAAAACTCCGACACAGGTTCGCACGGCACTTTAACTTACGGCACAATCGTTTACGCTCGCGCCACACCTGGAGAACCGCGCACATCAAGCCCGCATCCTGCCACGCCTCACTGCAGGTCAGCAACAGGCCTTCTGTAACGCCGCACAACTGGTCTCCTGGGGGCCCTCTACACTTGCCCACAAGGACCTGTGAGGCCGCCGGACAGGGACCAGGCAAACAAGAGCACTTGCCTATATCACCTTGCTATAGGTGGACCACAAGGTGTTTTCAGAACTGGGCCCCCTGCCTTCTGCCTCTCTCATCGCAGCTTGAATCAGTCAATGGTGCATGAACATCGAGTAGTGCGCGAGAGGAGCCTTGCCCCCTGGCCCTTGCCGGCAAGGCCCTGTGATACAGTGGTGCGGTAGTTGGAAAAGAATGAGCAAAAGGGAAGGAACGAAATGGGCGTGCCTTACCTTTATGACCGAAATAGCCTGCTGGGGAGACCATGCGCGGCTGGATATGTGGCGAAGCACGGCGCGCTCGGCTGCGGCCTGCCCCGTCGCGTTGAGCCAGCGGCTTGGTTGCCCCTGGGACTCAACGGGCTGCGGGGCTAGCGCATCTAGGTCTTGTAGCAGCTTTACCACCTGTACACGGATGGTAGGTAGGAGCGTAGGCAGGTAGAAGCGGAACCAGAGTGTCGCTAATTGCAGTGGGCTTTACAGCCCCGAGCTGAAGACAGCAAAACGGTGGTACCAATGCCCGGATATCGTCGTCTTTATAAGAGGAGGATCGATATGGAAGCAACAAAATGGAAGCGGACCGGGGGAACGTGGGGCTGCGTTGGTCTCCGCACTGCAGACAGGTATGCCGGCCATGGATACTGCGCGACACTAGCTGTGGATGGCGGCCCAAGCCCGAGTCTGCCCTCATCATTCCGGCATCATCCGGCATAGCTACGTGTCACTCCGCCATGGCTCAGTTTTGTATCAACATATTAGCACAGACACACGCACACATACCTGTGCCGCGCTCAACCATCCGGATCCCTGCACGCCGGCAGCTGCTACCCGGCTCAGCCAATCCGGCGTTGGGATGAAGGCGCAGCGGAGGGCCGTCAGCGTGGTTGCGCTGCGCTGCCGCGCTTCGAACAGCGTTACGGCCTCCAACAACTGCTGTGCAGCGGCATGCGGCTGTGGCGAGGACGCCAAGCCCCGCGTTGCCGCGCCTTCTAGCGCCTCCCGGATGCACTCCCGCATCAGAATGCTGTACTCCGCAAGCTCCGCCTGTCTTTCATACAGCGCAGACGCAGCAGCAGCAGCTGTGGCAGCCGCGATTTGGGAGGTTGCTGCTGCGGTTGCTGTCTGAAGGTTTGGCGCTTCGACTTTCCGTCCGATGGAAGGCAGCACGTCGATTTGCCCCGCTGTTGACGCCCAAGGCAGGCCGAAGCCGCCGATGTCAGGTACAAAACCACCATGTGAGCCGTGCATGTCCGCGGACCAGCTCCCGGGCATGTCGGCAAGTACTCCGTCGGCCGGTACATCCCCGGCTACACCCACGCTGCCACCGCCCAGTCCCGCTCCAGCCGCTGCAGCGGCGGCGGCGGCTGTAGCAGCCGTCGTGGCCTCCTGCGCTGCTAGCTCACACCCATGAATGACGCTGCAGAAGTCCTGGGAGACGTGGAAACGGATAGCCGCGGCAGTGGCACAACACCCAGGTGACGAAAAACACAAAAGACCACAGGTGTAATCACTCAACATGGCGCGCGTTAGTCTAAGTTTCTGTTAGGTCTGGTCCTAAACTTTTCCCGCTGGCGTTGCCACCTCGCTGCAGCGGACTGGTGGGAACACCGTGCGAAGCAAAGCTATAACGCACGACGGAAACTCCACCCCCCCCCAGCAGAGCTTCCTGGTGTTCCTAGGACTGGATATCCATAGCCCATCAACGCGCACTCAGTTCCGTTCCCATGTCCTGTGCTGTCCTGCCAGGCCCGGCCTCATCCAGCTCCTATGTCCCCTTGCGCTTCTCTTGCCGGGTTCCTTTGCCCATGGCCACCTTGTCCCCACCGCCCCTCTCTCGTTGTGTCTGGGTTTGCTTGGTTGGGCTTCCCTTCAGCCCCCCGTACGTACTTGCATCGAGTCCCAGGTGGGAATGTGGGCCAGCAGACGCTGCCACAGCAGGTACTGAAAGCGCCACAGATCCTGATGTGCCAAAGCATCTAAGATGGGCTCCAGGTTCGCATTGCTGAACGCCACGATGTGCCGTGGCGCTTTACGGAGGTACAGCTCCACACCCGCCTGCACCAGTTCCGTCCACACGTCGAAGTCTTGCTGGCTAGCGTAGGCTGCCTGTGCGCCATGACCCAAAGCAGCGAGGGCGAGGGCAGCAGGGAACCGCCACTTATGATTGTGCTGGTGGTGGGGTTGTGGGTGTGGCTGTGTGAGGCTGTAGGATGGGTTTGGTTGGGGTTAGCAGTGCAAGGTTGTACTGGCGGTTAAATACTCCCGAGGGAAAAGGTTCAAGGAAAAGAGTGGCAGACAGGAAAGCAGGAAACGGGACCTGGTGTCTGGGGCCGCTTTAATGGGGTTTTCGCATCTTTTGGGGGAGTTGCATCCGGTGCTAACCGCCCATGAGATATGACACATCGTGCGGCTCTGGTAAGCTGTAGGGATACTGCCGCGGCGAACTATCCCCGGCCATAGCTGCCAGATTACAAGGCTAATGGGCCTAAGCGGAAGATAAAATAATAAGAGTCGCGGTTGGGCGGTCAGCATGTCAGATCCTGGTCCAAATTTCCCGCCGGGTCTTCCTGCCGACCTGCAAAAGGATGTTGTGGACGTGGAACAGCGTCACGCACGTCTCCGGGATGGTCGCAGCTGGAGCATACGCGCTGGAGCATTGCGGCAGAGCCTGCAGGGTTCGGAAGGCACGGGTTGGCGGCAGAGGATGAAGCATCGCAATTTTGCAAGAGCACAACTAGGATCGCTGCAGCTGCCCCAGACGTGACAAGCTACTTGCCTGGAGCAAGGCCGCCAGCGTGTCGTAGCCATTCTGGAAGAGAGCCTGGCCGCGCAAGTGGATGTAAGGGTGTTTGTGAACGGACTGGCGGTGCGATGCTAGTTCCGCGGCTTAACACGTGCATGTAGCGAACTCCCGCGAGTGGCAAGCATGGGCTCCAAGCAGGACCTGCAGGACCCACCTCCAAGCCAAGACTGGTCGTACCACACGGTGCGGCGGTCGGGGCGTCCCGTAGTACGAGGGCAGTTTTGGATATCGCTTCCAGGACCTGGCAAGACTGGTTCGTTGCTGCCAGTCGTGTAAGTGCTTGTAGCGGCTCATCCGCCAGGACATCGCTGGTGCGCGCTAGCTGAGTGAGCGTCAGACGATCCAATTGTGCTACACCACCGGACTGTGATGGTATAGGAAATGGGTGTGTGGGGATATGCTCTTGCGTTCTGAGCTTCGACGGTTCGACTAGGGCGCTCCATTCGATGCTCACCACGGAACTGGGTGGTACCGTCGTAGAAGCCCCGTCCATACGATAGTGCGTCTGAACACGTCTTTGGTGAAAAGACAGTCGCATGATGGTGCTGGACCGCTCAATTGCACGACCTAGTGTACGCGGTCCCCGCATTCTGTGTCAGCGTTAACAACGGATAATGCCACCTTAGGTCAGACAGTACTTGTGAACAGAATGGACCTAATTCTGCTTGTTTAGCGAGGAAAGCCTGTAAAATACCAGCGACGCCGCAACAAGGGAGCTGTCAATTGGGCGGCAGGATTACAGCACCCTTAATTCTAGTCAAATGCATATACCTATTCATGTTCCAGTAGGAAAGCTGATAGTCCTGCTTCAATGTCTCAAGGTGCAGAACCTTTTAAAAAAAGGTTCCGAGTATGTACGTCAAACACTACTTTTTGCAGCGATTAGGTCAAGCATCACGTCCCTCAACATCCCGCTTCCATAGACCTCTTAGGCAGCCGATCTTGATGTTGAGCTGTTTGCCAATAGTTCGTACTTGAATGCGTTTGTAGACTTCCAACCGTGAGGCTTTCAACCAATTTGCTTTCAGGAACTGGCAAGGCGTGGTAGCTTGGCTTGAGATTGTCTCTGTTTCTCAGTACATTGTAGAAGTGTAACTCTTCTTGCGTTGTACCCTTCTTGTGCTTAGCTTAAGCCATAGGCTCCGTAGCTTTGACTTTAACAATGAACTTTTTCAACAAAGTTAAGAATCTGTTCTTTGGGGTAAGTCACTAGGTGCCAGCTGTCCGGTGCGTTTCCCTGGGTAGGGCTAATAACCCAGGCCCTGACCAGCAGGGCGAAGACGACGACGGCGACGCAGGTAGGCAGCGTCATCAGAGCGGCGAAGCAGCAGGACCTTCCACCGCAGCGTCAAAGCGTCCGCGCTCCTCTGGTACGTCCCCGAGCAAGACCGTGGCAAGGCCAGCCAGCGGGCAGGAGCCAAAGCCGCAGGAGCCAGTGCTACAGGATGCTGGCTGTTCTGAAAACGGTGGTGTGCAGGTGCGATGCTATCCATGCGGTCCTGGGGGGGCTCCGTACGGTATCTCCCTTCTCGTCTACCCTCTAGCCGGCCTACCCATGTCAGACTGCATTGGCCTCTTGGGAGCCACTGGCAGGGCCTATATGTTGAACTTGGACACTGGGACTCCTATATGTTGAACCTGGATAGGAACATGTACGCATGAAGCGGCGGGAGCGTGGAACATTCGCTGGGGTCCTACCACGTGTATGTTCCTTGGCGCGCAGTCAACAGTCGGAAGTCCACTGGTGAATTTCTGCGGGGCCACGCCTGTGGGCAGGACACACGCGCTAAAGCTGCCCTGTACCAATGTCCTCCGCGGGGGCCCCTCTTGCCGAATGCTGTACACCCCCACAGGGCCTAGACTGGTACGCCGCGAGTCAAATACAGGACCAGCACGGCGATTACGCAAACGAGTTTTTCGATGCGGACACGGGAACGAAATGCTGTGCAGGGGCAGCGGCAACGACGGTACCAGCAGCAGCAGCAGACAGTGTGAGACCGAAGAGAGGGCCCCACAAACCGGCTGGCAAGGCAGGGGGAGGCAGTGTAGCAGCAGGAAAACAGGTGAGGAAGGCAAATGGTACAGAGGGGCGGTCTGAAACATCCTGAAAGTTATCACCTAAATTTTAGCCTGCCGTAATTGATGCATCGAGCATGCCAACCAAAGGAGACTGGTTTCCGCGTCGTGAAATTTGTCGGCCCTTTTTTGGGGGGGTCACAAGCTTTTGCTTTCGATTGCCCCTTGGCTCAGCACCACAAGCTGGACAAAGATAGGTTGCTCACCGCCAATGAACTGGCGATGGATTGGTGTCTGCGTGGTTCTTGGAACAAAAGCAAAAGAACAGAAAAGCAAAACTTTCGTTAGGCTCTTAGCGCGCGCACAAGGCCGGACCGGCAACGGCCTGTGGCTGTGCCATAAAGGGAGTAATGGACTCCGTTACAGGCTAGCAGCTAGTCAACATCGTAGCTGGTACGACTATCAACGCGTCGTGCAGATCCGGGTTCCCGACCTAGGTGTGTTTCCGTTAATGTCTGTGATAGGGCCTTCCGGAGGGCTCGTACAGTCCGGCAGTGGGAATGCCCAAGTATGTACATACATACAGATTAGGATGCCCCTCTAGCATCGTGCAGATCCGGGTACAGTCCGGGAGTGGGAATGCAAAAGTATGTACATACATACGGATTAGGGTGCCCCTCTAGCAAGGGAGAGCAGGGACTGCCCCGGGAAAGGGGGCCGCTGGCAAAGTTAACCACCCTGTAACAACATACATACAGGTATATGTGTGTGTTAACCTTGTGTTGCCCTTGAAAGGGTTCTAAGCCCCACACCAGCGGGGGGCCCAAGGGCTGACCGAAAGGATCTTGGATTATTCTACTTCCCAAGAAAGGATAGGATGATACAGTCGCATGCATTCTCAAGTACTATACATGTCCCGTTTCTGTGTCCTCAGCAGCTCAAGGTAAAGGATGTGCAGCGAGGCACAGTGATCTTGGAGCCCATTTGAGTTGTGGATTGGATAGGGCGCCCGGGTCCTACGCTACCTTCGCGAAACTTCCGATTCGGTCTCTGCCCTGGCTCTGGGAGTCGCCCACCGTTCGACGCATGCCTAGGATTGGGAGCGGTTCTCTGCAGGGCTGAGATGCGCCCCGTGCCCCGGGTCTTCCACGGCATGGCCAGAGGTTGGGCCTGTCTCAGGCGGAAGGCTGTTTGTTGTGTGCATGCGACGATGGGCTGAAGCTGCTTCATCCCGCGGATCAAGGGGCTGCTTGGGGAGCATGGATGGCGGATGCTGTATGGTGTGCGTAAATATGCTTTGCGTCTACCGGAGTGCCAATTTAGTGACCTTCTTTGGAGGCAATGCCTACGTGTGGAAGTGTCTTAATAGCGTTGGATTGGCGCGGTGCGCGCATCGGCTGGTGCTGTCTGGAGGCAGGCCGCAAGGCCTCGTACCTTGCTTGGCGGCGCCGAGTAGGGTGCTTGGCGGCTTCCTTTTACTTCGTTACGTTATCTTTTGTGCACTAGAAGAGTTTTACAATGTCGTTATTGGGGTGTATTGTATCGAGGCATGTAGAGTTTGCTGCAGGTCGTATGGTTGGCATTGTGAGGGAGCGGAGGATGGGGGCACGGGCTTAAGCTCTGCGTAGATAGCGAGCCATGAAATTGTAGTGACGGGCCCGTTCGAAGATGATAGCAAGGGTTTAACAGAACTGGTGGTCCAGTCCTAGCGGGGCTTGCTCCTCTGTGGTGCCTACAAGCTGGGAGTAATTTTCCTTGCTTTCCACGTAGTTTTAGAAACGTATTTTTTGATACGCTAGCTATTCCTGTATTGGGGCTACGGTGTTTATTCCATGGAACACATCTTTGCCCGGAGTCAAAAGACGTATTACAACCAGCATGCCAATCAATTGCCTCATTGGCCTAACAACCCCAGATCCCGAATTTGGCGATTGCTCCTCACGGTCTGCACCCGCTATCTGTGGGGCCCTCCAAATCTGCCAGGTACACTAGCATCTGCACGTATTAGTCACCAACCAGCTCATCAATTAGGCCCCAACAGCCACACCACGAGTCGAGCTTTTAGTCCAACAGGAGGTTAAAAAAATATTAAAAAAATAAATGTACTATAAGGATACGTTGGCCGCTATGGCACTTGAGGGAAAGAGCCGGGTGGATTTACCCATCTCGGCGGAACGCTGGACTATCACCAGCCACCGTTCACTAGACTCACAAGCTATGAGTACCTAAATACTCGTTTGTATTCTTTCCTGACTAAAAAACATAAAAAAAATATGTATACGCTACATCCGACAGTAGCGCGCTAAAACTATATGGAAAAACAGCAAATATCCAAACACACACCGCTATGTGGTCATAAGTAGAACCTGGTATTTAGAACTGCTGCTATGAGCGCAAGGTATGCGACTATCTCGCCGAATGCTCGCGTCCGCCATATTCCTCCTTGCTTGGTTATCTCCGTCCTGGCCTATAGTCCCCGCCTATGGTATCCATCACACCCTTCACACCTTCCTACGCGCCATCCATCGCCACCGCAACCCGCGGCTCTTTCCACCAAGTCCACCAAATCCTCTGCCCTGCCCATCCCTTCCCTAAAGGTATAAACTGTCTTACTGAGGAGAATGGAAAAAAATTGGCACTACGTCGCACTGCACCGCACCGCACGCCGCACCGCACCGCACGCCACATCGCCTATGTTTCCTCTCGCGCTTGCTGCGCCCTCAGCGTATTAACCTCCCTGCCTCCACCTCGCTGGCATCTGGGGCTGAGCAGTAGCCCCTGGCCAGCGTCAGGCCCTGCAAGATATGTAATACACACACATACAGACACGCAAGTCCCTGCCAGCTCTCACTCTCTCTACTGGTCCCGCGTCTCCACGCCAATCTGCCGAGCAAACTTAATAAACACCTCCTCCAGCGTCGCATTGGTCACGCCCCAATCCAGAACCTGCATCTCCGCCTTGGCCGCCGCCACCTCCCGAAACACCGCCGAAAAGCTCACCTCCTCCGCAGGCAGCTCGTACTTGAACGTACCGCCCAGCGAGTACGTCACCCGGGCGCTGGGGCTCATGCGCGCCACCAAAGCCCGCACCGCGTCCTCGTGGCCAGGCCCCACCGTGATGGTGAACACCAGGTAGTCCGCGTAGCGCGATGTGATCTCTCGCGGATTGCCGATGCACACCAGCTGGCCGTCCACGAAGATGCCGAGTCGGTCGCACAGGATTTCCGCCTCCTCCATGGAATGTGTGGTCAGGATGATGGCCCTGCCGGCCTTGTGCTCGCGGACCACATCCCATAGGGCGCGTCGGGAGGCGGGGTCCAGACCCGTGGACGGCTCATCCTGCAAGTGTAATGTGTAATGTACGGCATGCACGCACGCAGACAGGTGGTGGGGTGAAGGTAATGCGTGGGGTGGAGGAATGATGATGGAAGGCTCCCAGGGCCAACTGCACTGAGGAAAAGCTTGCCGTCCATTCCAAGCTCCTTCCCTCCCTTCCTCGCTCTTTCCTTCCCTCCCTTTCTCCTTCCCTCCCCCTTTCGCATTAACCACCCCTTCAAGTCTTACCAGGTACACGACTTGCGGGTTGCCCATGAAACTGATGGCCACACTGAGCCGCCGTTTCATGCCGCCGCTGTAGGCACCCACACGCCGCTTGCCGGCGTTATTCACGTGCAGCTTTACAGACTTGATAGCGGCTTCCACCGCCGCCGTAAGCTCCTTGCCTGCAGCCAACAACACGGATCGGTGCCGCCAGGACCTTGTTTTTGTTACCCAGTTCAACGATATGGGAGATCTTTTTTTAAAGGAGTGAAAGACTTCTACGGAGCTCATGGTTGTAGGGTCTCTCTTGGGCATAAGGTCATAAGGGTTCTGTTTAGAGCGGTGAATGCGCTATGGGCATGACGCCTGGGCCGGCACGTGGGGTTTGGGGACAGGAGGGCTTTCATCCTTTCGAGGGATTGCGTTCAGGAACGCCGCAGCTGCAGCCGCAGCCGCCACCGTGCATGGCGCAGCGCGGTGTCCCCTTGTGCGGAATGTTCTTCACGGCACGGCTGCAACACGGCGCTGACACGCGTCACCCGCCGTAGCGCGCTCACCCGTGAGTCCCTTGATGCGGCCGTAGAACATCAGGTGCTCCTCTCCAGTCAACTGCTCCCACAGCAGGTTCTCCTGCCCGTCAGCGAGGAACGCAACCGAATAGGAACATGAGGAATATGAGGGCCAGTCAAACTGGAGGAGCTTGGCTCCTGCCAAGCTGGGCAGGAGCTGGCCACGAGGTAGGAGAATGGCGAATGGGGGGTTAAGATCACCACACGCACACACATGCACACACCGCATCAGACGTGTACGCGCAGCCAGCAGCTTCCTACCTCATGACAAACCCCGCCGCCATTGAGACCCATCTCCCAGATTCACCAGTGTTCATTGACGCCCACACGAGGGCCCCTCAACCACATCCTCTCTCCCATCAAAAAACCCACACGCACCGCAGCAGCCACTCACTGAAGCAACACAGGAAAGGAGCGGGAGAAAGAAAGAAAAAAAGAAAGAAAGGACGACGACGACATCAATGCCATCCACCTGCCCCACCTTCCCATCCCGGTTCTCCTGGCTTTCTTCTCTTTATGCTCCTACCCAACCGCCGCCCAACCGCCCAAGCACTTTCGAGATACCGCTGTCGGGGTTTCCTGCCCTCATTTCCCCTCCACACGCACACACACACACACCTGGGGACACACGCCCATCATGCGGTAGATGTCCGTCATGCGGGTGCGTATGGAGCGCCCCTCCACCAGGGCGTCACCCGCACTGGGCTCCAAGAAGCCGGTCAGCATGTTGATGGTGGTGGTCTTGCCTGGACAGCGCAGGCAGGAGGGAGGGGTGGGGCCGAACGGAGCCGGGCGGTGCAAGGGGCAAAAGGTAGACGGAGGGACAGGAGTGGAGAGAGAGGAGATGGGGGAGGGCGGAGGCGCCGGGTTGTCGGGAGGCCCACGGCGGAAGGGCGCTGGGCGCTCACAAACCAGCGCGAGCACTCAACAAGCTAATAAGCCAACCCAGTACATCCGCCTGGCCACATCCCGTCTACTACTACACGCAAATCAGGTCCCTTCCGTTTCCTTTTGGGTCATGTATTGGGTCATATTGGTGTCCGGGGCGGTGGCGTTTACTTCCCTTTCCCGTCCTAACTCCCAATCAGTCTATTTGCACTCACTCACCCGCCCCGTTCGGCCCGAGCAACCCGAAGCACTCCCCGCGTTCAATGGCCAGTGTCAGCGAGCGGACCGCCACACGACCACGCTGCCGGCCACCGCAGCAGCCCGCCAGCCATCCCGCGCCTGCGTCCCGTCCTAAGCCGGCTCGCGCATTGGAGAACGTTTTCGCGAGGCCGCGTACGACAATGGGCGTGTTCAAGAGCTGCTGCTCGTCCATAGCCGCCACGCGATCCGCCTCCGCCGCCACGTCGTACGCTTGGATTTTCAGCCCAATGGCGACGCCGCCGCCACCGTTAGCAGCGCCGCTGCCGCAGTCGTCACTGCTGGATTCAGCGGGTGCGCACGCATACGTCAGCGTGTCCACAGAGCCCGCGGCCTCGCCGCCTCCACTCTCAAACGTAACTGGATCTACCGTACACGCCTTCACCTCCTCTGCCCCCGCCGCCGCCGCCGTCGCTGGCTTACCCGTACCAAGCATAACCGATATGCAACGGTCACTCCCACTCGGCGAGGGGGCTCCCTCAGCCGTATTGACAACCAGCCGCGGGTTGACGGTGGAGGGCAGGCCAGCGGTGCCGCCGCCAGAGCTGCTGGACGCACCGAGCGAGGCACGGGAGGTGGAGGTGGCGGCGGGCTGCACCGTTGCGGCCCATGCGACGCCGGGGCTGCCGCCGCCACCGCCCCGGCCGCCAGGGGTACCACCTCTGGTACTAGGACTAGGGCTAGGGCTCCCCGTCGGGCTTGCCGGCGGAAAGACCGCCGACGCGGAGAGGTCCTGACCGCCGCCTGCACTGCAGCCGCGGCTGCTGGTACTGTGATGGCTACCAGTACTGAGAAGTCGCCGAGGAGACATCGGCGAGACTGATTTCGCGCTAACCACCAGGGCGCCCGCTGGTAAGCCGCTGCCGCCGCTGCTGCTGGTGCTACTGCTGGCGCCGTCACCGCCGCCGACGGTCCTCGGCTTGATGCAACTACCCTCACCACCGCCGCCTTCGCTACTTTTGGGGCCACAACTGCCGCCGCCGCCGCTGCCACTGCCGCCGCCGCGACGAATACCTCCCCGTTCACTGCCCCTGCTGGCGTTTCTGCTAATGCTGTCCCTACGGCCGCCTTCATGTTTATTGCCGTCGCTGTTGCCGCACTCCATAGGCCAACCAGGTAGCATGGCTGTGATAATCTCCCCGCCGCCGCCGCTGCCGCCGCCGCCGGTGCCGCTGCCGCGGGCTCCGTCCTCTTCCTCGGCCGCATCGGCGGCGCCAGCACCATCGCCATCTACGCCCTCGGCGACCGGGCCGGCGACGCCGATCAGTAGCGTCGGCACCGTCAGCCCCCTTGCCGCCCCCGTTGACGTCAGTCGCATCTGGGATCAGATCCTCGCCCCGCTTCGACATTCCGCCCGCCTGAGGTGGCGACTTGAGCTCCTCAGCCATGAGCATTGACGGCGCCGCCGCTGCGCCGCCGCGTCCCGGTGCCATTTCCACCACCGCTGTGGCATGAGGCTGCATCCGCTGGAGCTCCCAGAGGTCAGCATTCGGCTACCGCCAGCAATCCATGCGACAGGGAGGATGCGAACAGCCAATAGGGTTGCCGATTGCTGGAGAAGGGAGAAAGCGGGAGAGGAAAAGGTATACACCAACAACAAAAAGGCAGGGACACGTCATTCGCTAGCAGGTGGGCTAGCGGTCCAGCCTAGCCCAGCCATGCAGGAGTGCAGGGGGCATTTTCATCCTCGCGCCCTGACTTGACCCACCTCAGGCGAGCACGGCACCCCACCCCACCCCACCGCCGCACATACCTTCCGCCACATCCACCGCAGGAAAAAGAGCGGATGCCGTCTCGCCCCGGTCCCGTTATTCAGAACCTGCGGGAACAGCCGCCGCAGCCGCAGCAGGAGCAGGACTGTGAGCATCAGTTGATAAGTGCGCACCGTGTTTTCCCCCATAATTCCCGGCTTCTCATTCCTTACAGGTACACCACCGCCTGTTCACCTGCTCAAAGTACCAGCCCAGCGCTATGAACAGCGGCCACTCCGCCAGCAGAGACACCCACACGCTAAGCATGCCATTGCCGGGGTCGCGCAGGTTGGACCACTTAAGACCAGGGAAGGTGGCGAAGACGGCCCGGGTGGAGTACTCGGAGAACTCGAACAGACCGCGGTACAGCGCAAAGCCGGGCACCAGCTGTACGACAAGCATGTACGACTTGTCCTGCTGCATGAGCGAGCGCAGTAATAGCTCGCCAATGAGGCCCGATGCGAAGATGTATAGAACGGCCACGACGGTTGCCGTACGGGAGGAGGAGAAAAAGGAGGAGATCATGAACACGAAGGCGAGCATGTTGTTGCCGAAGATGAAGAACAGCACGGCTTGTATGGCTGCAGCGGGTGGGGGAGGGGCGGGCGGCACATCGCGAGCGTGGGGGTGGGTTACTTTATCAAGTCTGTGAGGAAAGAGATGACCCAGAAACGAGTCGGCGACAAAAACTAACAAAAACGCGCACCGGAACTTTTGCTGTTGCCCAATGCCAATGTTTTTTTTGTCGTAACGGCGAAAATGCATGCCCCGCTGAGCATCCTGGCGCCTTCGTCGAGCATTGCGAATGCAATGCTGCTGCTGATGCACGTATATGCGCACCAACGCGCGAGATATAATCCTTAGAGCAGCCGCAACTTACGAACCGCCATCAACCGAATCATTAACGAATTGAACTGCCCCGCAAGGGTCCCGCGGCTGGTTGAAGCAGCAGCTTCTGGAGCTACTCACAAAAGGGCGTGGTGGTGAAGACCTTGAGCCGTATCAACGTCCCGAACACGACGAAGAATACCATGTAGACTATGTACCTGTTAACGGACATGGAGTAACCAAAAACAGGCCAAGTTTAAAGGTCCAAACTAGGACACGAAACCATCGCCCTCGCGGAAGGGTTTCGCCATTATCATTGACTGTCGTTGACTAGTCAGGTGTTTACTTTTTTGAACGTGAGGGGGAAGGGAGTAAGCCGGGCGAGGGAGCTAAAGGCGCGGCGCACATACACACGCACACATACACACACACCTCAGCCCACCACCGCAAGGAACCCCCCCTGCTGCCCTCCTCCCCCCTCCCGACCCCGGCCCTGAGCGCCGCCCTCCTGCCCTTCCCCCCCGGCCAGTTAACTACTCACACCATGAGGTACCACAGGTACGTCACCAGCCAGTACGCCCCGTCACCCAGACCGTGCATCTTCATGATCATTCGCAGGCGCTTCTCCTTCTCATACACCAGCTGCTGCAGCAGCGACGGCAACAGCATCTGGACCACCCACCTGTGCGCATGGGGCGAGTAGAAAAGAATAAGGCGGTCAACAGCAGCAGCAGCAGCAACAAAGAGGTTCCCGTTCCCCGTCCACTTACGCCACAGGATCGCAACACAGCGCCGCAGGAGACGCCTTGACGACACGCGCAGCTCACACGCTTGCCCCACACATGTCCTGGAGGGCCCCCTCCCCCCCATCCGTCCCCGGCCCCCCTTTCACTCCCCCCCTTACGTGTAGAACAAGGGTCCCAGGATGACGCTGAAGTCCAGCTTGAGCTGCAGGGCCAACTTGGGAAAGGACATGAGGCCCATCAGCCGGTTGCGGACGTTGTAAACGACGGGCAGACGGCCTGGGTGGGCAAGCGAGTGTATGGGTCAAAACGAAAATGGAGGACGGGAGGCCGGCGTAGGGGGAAGGCGGGGAATTACATGCAAGAAGCAAATAAGGTGGTTCAGCTGCCGAGAAGCACGGGGAATGGTTTAGAACGCGGGTCTGCGGGTCATCAGCGCTCATCGGGGTGTGGGTGTATTCGTGGGACCTCTGCGTTGGTGTTTGTTTATGTTGGGGGAAAGGGGACAAGGCGCGGAGGAGAGGAAGAAAACTGTCGACTTCTTCCCTTCAGAGCATAATCCGCAAGTCGGTGCTTTGTATCTTAGGTGGGATTGTATCACCATGGCTTGCTAATGTAGAAAGCCATCAACAACTCCCAATCCGGAAGAAGGAAAAAATTTGGGAGGCAGGTAAGGTTATTGACGGCCAGACCGCCAGAGCTCAACTCTCAGACTCCAAAAGCAAGTCAAGTAGAGGACGTAATGGGACGAAGGAGGTCAAGGCCGGCAACGGTCGGAAGCTGTCCCCACAGCAATCACCCACAGCACCCCAGGCCGACCCTAGCCCGACTCGACCCCACCCACCCACCTACCCCAGTAAGTGCGGGTCCAAGCCTTGGTGGCCATGTTGAGCAGCTCATGAATGCGGTAGTTGACGGGGGTGTCCGGCACGGGCAGCGACAGGTTGTAGTAAGCGTCGTACCTGCGGCGAGTAAATGTTGGTGGCACGGCATACATACTTATAGGCAGGCGGCTGGCAGAAGTTAAGGCCTGACTCCTGCTCTCGGAGATTCCGGGTTCGAATCCGCCTGCCGACCACTCGGTGTGTGAGGGGTGTTGAATTGGGAGGTGGGCCCCCATCTTGCGGACGGTGTAGGACGTTATTATATCAATTTGCGCCAGTTGATCCGCTAGATTTGGTTGGATGCTGGTGGTGAGTTGCTGAACCCAACGAATACATTCTGAAGTCGGATGGGGTGAATGGATTAGGGTGCCTCTCTCGCAGGGGAGAGCAGGGAACTGCCTCCAATGGAAAGGGGGCCGCTGGTGAAAGCTATACCGCCCTGCAACAACATACATACTTACAGGCTAACAAAAAAGAGTACAATTTTCCACGTCAGCAGTCTTTCCCGCCGAGCGAGCGCTATGAGAATGCGGATCAGGTGGTATGGGGCCTCTCGACAACCTGTCAGAGGCCGATGTGGGGTCAGCCAACCCGCCGGAAACAGCCCCCCCGAACCGCCCTGTCCCCACCTAACATAACTCGTACCACCACTCCTACAAGCAGCATGGTAAAAATCGTTCGTAGCAGCAAAAGAGAGAGCTCAGGAGTGTCCCCCCTCCGCTCTTGACAGCCACTCACAACAACCCGTCCAAATTCCGTCAGCCCTGAAAACCCCCCAGGGCCCCTGGGCCCCAAAAGCCCACTGCCTACCCACTTGAGGGTGGTGGGCCCTAGCTCTCGAAAGTTCCATGCACCGCCGTACTCACGAGTGAAGTACGTCCCATCACAGCGAGCCTGCGCATCATCATGAGGATGGCATCAAAACCATCGCTGCGGCTGTCGGTTGTTGCTCGTTCAAATCCGTTTGTTTAGTTAGTCCGCCAGCCCGCGAAGATTAGTCAGTCGCTCGTTACTCAATCATTCATCCAGAACACACACACACAGAGTCACACACACAGAGTCACACACCTCGCCCACCAGGCATTTAAGCGACACACCGCCCTCCCCCGCTAGGTTCCCCCTCTTCTCTCCTTTCCCCCTGTCCTCCCTCCCGCCCGCCCGCACGCTCACTTACCTTTCCAAATCCGCAGTACAGTCTGCGGTCCAGGGCCGTGGCGTTGGCCGCCTCCCTGGGCAGTGTATCCACACAGGCCGCAGTGATGCCGCCAAACGGGGAGTCCTCCAATCCCCGGGTGATCTGGACACGCAACACCCGTCATGCGGCACACACACACACACACACACACACACACACACACAAAGACACACATGTGAGACACAGAAGAAGCAAGCATATGGGACAGAGAGAGACACGCATAAGGTGGCCCCGACCGGAGCACGTGAAACGCTGGCACCGGGAGCCAACCAAAGGTTAACTACCAACCATCAACCACCAACCACCAAACCAACTGAGTAAGTCCAGAACCCCGAATCCTTTCCAAAGAGCCACACCGCAAAACAAGCCCCCCCCCCCCTTGTTGCGGTTGGCTTGCGTGCATCGCGGTGTTGTGGGCTGTCGGATGAGGGGTGTATTCCTCAGCCTCGCAGCCAGCCAGCCGGTCAAAGGGAGGCGGTGTCAGGCAGGTCACGCCGCCACCCTCACCCCGCCCTTCACCCCTGTCTCCAAGACCCTGCCTGCTCGCCTATCTGTCTGTCTGTCTGTCTGCCTGTCTGCTCGCCTGTCAATCTGTCTGTCCGTCCGTCCCGTCCCCACCTGGCTGGGTGTCACATTCAAGAGCCGCAGCAGTGGCGGGATGACGAGCGGAAAGGAGGCGTTGTAGTAGACTAGCAGCATCTCAGCCAGCGGCACAGCCCTGTAAGTGGTCACTGCCACAGACAGGGAGGTGGGAGGAGGAAGGAAAGAAGGGGGGAGTTGAGGGAAACACAAATAAGAATGTAACAAATGATGACACGCAAGCCAAACTGCACAACTACCTCAGCGTTTTGGTTGGTAGGAAATAAATTAGTGCTAACACAGGTCGGATGTGCCCCAACAATGTCTCCCAACAAGACATAGCCCGGCGGCACCGGCAGTGGCGGTAGCAGGTAGCGGGGTGCAGGGGTGCAGGGAGCCTGCAGGGCGAGGCGTGGTGTGCAGGGTTTTTTTGCCGAAACTGAGGAGGAACACGCTACCCACAAAACAGAAACCGTCTGCGGCAAACACGATGGTGGAAGGGCGAGGAGAGGAGGACAAGACCGGGTTGGCACTGCGGGTAGGGCTGCGTACAGAGCCCCACCTCGCGGGTTACCCCTTTGCCCAGAACCTCAGCACGCGTCGGGGTTTTCCTTCCTCAACGAGCACCGAATCTTCTGTCGTCCAGAAGGGGGTCCCCTATCCCCCAGGCCGAAATAACCCCCCTTTAGAGACCCCCTTAAGAGTCAGCCCCTCCATCTCACCGTTGGAGATGCCCGCGGCGCTGCAGCGGCCCTCCGGCAAAAGGAACTGCAATCGGGAATTGTTGCTGTTGCTGTTGATGAAGGCGTTCTCCAAGTAATAATCGTTGTTGGCTCTGAGGGCCATGCACGGCAGGGGGCCAGGTGGTAGTCGGTGTCGGGGAGGTCGTGGTGGTGGTGGCGGGTCAACGTCCGAGTCAGGACTGCAACGCGGAGGGAAGTTAATGAACAGCATTTTCCGTTTTCAATAGCTTCCGAGCTCTCGGCCTGGGTTTCGTTATTTTCCCCCTACAAACACTTTCCTTTCATGCCTCCCCCGTCCCCCCTCCAACCCTCCCCCCAGAGCCCCCTTCCCCCCTTCCCCCCTTCCTCCTTCCCTTCCCTCCCCTACGTGAGCGCCGTTCCAAATTTGAGTTCCAGTCTTGACAGCTGCGCCGCATCCACCGCCTCCCCACTGGCCTGCAGCAGCCCCCCTGGAGCCAGGATGGGCAGCACCAGCGCCAACAACTGACTGGGCCGCAGGTTCAGAAGCGACAGAGGGCTGCTGCGGACCTGCACAGGTTCAGACCGGTGGAGGAGAGGCAGCGGCGAGGGGATAAGGAGTTGGGTGTGGAGCCGGTGTGGGTGTGGTGCCGGTGGGAGGTGGCGGTGGCGGTGGTGTAAGTGATGACTGTTCACCAACAGGACACGCAAGGGAATCGCATGCGAGTCGCAAGGGCCACACACTCAGGCGTCGGTGTGTGGAACGGTGGATGGGGGTTACCTTACACGTACATCCAAGAAAAGTCACACACACGGATACACACACAGACACACACAGACAGACACATTTCCTCTTGACAAAAGGGGGAATCGCGGGGTTGCACGCCTTCGGTCCAGCAGGAGGGGATAGTGGCCCCTCACACCCCTCTCCCCCGACAAGGAGGAGAGTCCCTCGGCGGTCGTTCCCGTTGGGGTACGGTTAGGTGCCCCTGGCCAGTGTCAGGCCCCGATCGATACGTAACAGATACACACATAGACACTGTGTGTCTATGTGTGTATCTGTTACGTATACACACATAGACACCCACCCACGCACTGGCACACACATACAGACGCACACGCACACGCACACGCACAGACACACAGACAACCCTCCACGCACCAGGTCAATGACAGCCTGCAGGTTGGGAAGCTCCGGCGGAGCCACCAGGTTCGCCGCCACTGCCCGAGCCGCAGTCAGGTTAGTGCCGGTGAAGGGCAGCCACTGCGTGGTGGACCCTCCTGCACGGCTGCCGACTCGGGGAGTCTGCAAAGGGGAGGGAGGGAGGGGCGCCAAAAAGCGCGGTCCAGGGAGCAGCGGAGAGGTTGCGGGAAAGTTGGATCTCGTGACCCGCCTGGGGCCGCACGGGGGTGCGGAAACACCCGTCATGAGCTGCTGCGTCATGACCATCAGCTGCAAGCGAGGAGAGAACACGGAGCGACGTCTAGCAGAAGACCGGGACGGGGAAAGGTGGTGGCGGTACTGCTTGGAGCTGGGCCGGCGGTGCGGAGGGAGGAGGGAGGGCTGACGGGGGGGGGGGCGGAGAAGGCGGGAAGGGGAAAGGGGTGAGAGATGAGGGGCATGGGGAAATGGGTGCGCGATTGGGCACCGCCCCCTGAACATGGGATTTAACAAGTCAAGAGCTGGGTAGGCCGCCCTGTTGAAAACAGAAGGCCGCCGGCCGCACGCCATCGCGGCTGGAGGCCTCCCCCGTCCGCACCGCCGCGCACCTCCATGACCGGGGGCCAGCTGCTGGGCTCCGGGATGGCGCAGAAGATGGCCTGGCGGGGGCTGGAGAAGCGCAGACTGCAGTTGGAGTCGTTGTAGGCGCGA